GAGAGAGAGAAGTTTCGCCTTATTAAGGATTCCCTCCTCCCATTCCTCCGAAGTGTCTTAAGTGCCTTAACAAAGCGTGTTTGTTATACCGACGAAATCTTTCCCTGAGAAAGGTGCTACTTGCACTCTCATGACTATTCTATTTAAATGAGCACCGAGTTTCCAGCGAAATGTAGATCAACGTATTCGCGAGAAAGACGGTATCGTACCGTTTTTTTTTTTTTTTTAATCTCAAGAAGAATGAAAGTTTCACACCGGGAGTCACTTCTTTCATTCCATCCTGCGTTCAAATATTTTCTACAAATTTTCAGATCATTCCTAAGAAAGTTTTGAAAAAATTTATCGCGATTGAATCTGATTTTGATTTAAAATAGACCATTTTGGGAGACGAGATATCTCGCGATCGCGTACGAATTTTAAGACTTTTCGATAAGAACGTGTCGTTCGAAGTCCGAAAGGCAAACTCACGTTGACGAAAATATCACCGGTAATATCAAACGCGATAACCTTGCACACGTATGTACAATCGACTCGAATTCACTTCAACGTAATCGTCGATTAAATAGATGCGATTATCACCATTATCGATCACGCACTTGATAACTTCGTCGCGATTAATTTTTATCGGGCTTCGAAGAGCGAATTCGACGGCGCGCTCGATGAGCTTCTTCGGAATTGGAAGCAGAATCGAATCGTTTATCACACACGCGCGCACCTCGTTTTGACACCTGTTAATGAAAGAACCTGCGTCGCGCGACGCACGCAAAACACATCTGAGAAGGCGCCGCGACGTCGGCACCGGTTATCGCGGCTCCCTACTCCTTGGAGAACGGTTCACCAAGCACGAATCTCGAGGAACGTCTTGGGTTGTTACTCGCGACGCACTCGCGTAACTCGAACGTTGTTTAAAAACAGGATTCGTCATCGATATATATTTCGGGATATTAAAATAAGTTAAAATTAGAATTAATTCTTTTACAAAAACGCGATCGAGATTAATATAAAAATATTAAATTATTCCTCTACATAAAATAGAGATATATCTCGTTATATCTCGTAAAAATTTAACGAGATATATCTCTCTAATTACCTAATTTTTATAGGAAAACTCGCGCGCGGTAAACGTTACTTCCTCCAAGTCGTTATTCGCAAAGATAAAAATTTATACTCGTCGTGCTAGAAAAGCGTTCAAGGTCGCTTACAAAGCCGCATTGTTATTTCTCGCGATGCAAACGCACATCGCGGGCTTTGTTATTATACTCTCGTTTCAGCGCTAATTTTATTCACAATTTTAATAATATCTCTGCATTTGTTTCCCCTCACTCGCGTGTACTTTGTGGAAATTTGAAAAAAATAAAGGAGCAAAGCTCGAAGGGGAGATTCCATCATCGAGGCATCATTCGACGGGACTGTCGAAGTGCGGGAAAATATCATTGAGAGATTAGATAAGAGGCGACGAGTCGCGAAGACGCAGGCTTTATGCGTGCTAAATATTTGGAATGACGCGATTCACGCTTGCATTGCCAAGGATAATCTCACACTGAAAACTCGGCCCCACGCGAGCTTTTGTGTGATTAGGTATGCTAATTATATTATGCAATGGCGGCAAATCTCTATTCGTACGCAGTGGGTCGGATTCATCGCGCGATATTATAACCCGACTACGTGGACGGCTACTTTGACGTCGCGCGTGGTCATCGTCGAAAATAATCATGACCGCGACTACTTATCCAATTTTAACGGCGCACAAGTATATGAATATCGTCTACGATTAAAATAGTTGAAACAATCATCGAATTTTTTTTTTTTGTTTTTCATAAATTTATGATAATAATAAAATAAACAATACTTACTTGTTAATCAATTATAATTGCAGTCAATGAAACAAATCTTAAACCCGTATAAAAGTTAAAAATAACGCTTAAAATAATAAAAAAGAATTATTTATACACTCGAGATAACAGAACACGTTAAATGAGAATTCTCGATTGCGTGCGGTCACATTACTGTAAGTGTGTAAATTGAACGTCAGCCAGTTCACTGTTACTTTTCCGTTAGACAATTAGCATGCACACGATCACTGTTCAGCGATGTCGGATGCCCTTGACACGGTAGAACCGACAAAATGATTTAGGGCTATCTCTCTCCGGTATCTCGATACGCGCGATTATCCCGACGAAACCGATTTCCGATCTGAAATTTACGATCCGCGATAGTAACTTCGATTATGCGAATTGATCATGCAATATCGATTGGTTCCGTAACAGACCAGCTATGCACAATTTTCCCTTTGTCGACGCCAAATGCTGCCATCACCACTCTTTTGCGATATCATCATTTCCCGATCTCACCTGCTCCTCTTCCTTACTCTTACGTAATGTGATATATTTTTAGATGGTTCTGTCATATTTGTACCTCTCTAATACGTAATTAACTAATATATGCTCGTTTCATTTTTCATATCATCGCAATTAAGACGTTCCAAACGTAAGAAAGCGTGAAAGTATTTACAAGCAACATCTAATTTTAAACTCCGCTTTCTGTGGAATAATAAAATATTCTTTTTCACATGCAACGAGATACACTCGACATTGACGATTGTCGCATCCAACAAGAAAGCAGGCAAACGCACGATGCAATTTAACATCAAATTTCTAATCCGGGGCTGCACGGTGAGTGATTCGCCCGTGAGCGATTTCGCCATCGCGAAAGCGCGCATTATTTTCGGCGCGATCAAACGAGCGCGACTTATGACGAGCGAAGGAATAATTAATGAACGTACTATGGATGGGAACATCATCGATTATTGCGCTCATGCTCGACCGCTCATGCACACCTGGTTGCGCAATATCTCTCTTCCCGAGTCAATGCATGCTTCATTGTGCCTCATCGTCGTGACACGTGTCTAACAAGTGCGTCGGTCACGTGCGCGAGAGCTTTAATGAACGCGACTTGGAATTGATCGACGATGCAAGTAGTACGAGATGTATGCATGCGTCACGAAAGAAATTTATATCTTTCGTTTCGAGTCCATTCCTGAGAGTTGGCTCTTTCAATTTTGAAAGTGATGAAATAGAAGCATTTTGTTACGGTCGTTAATCTTTCTCTCGACGCAATTTTCAAATAATATTACTTGATTTTAATTTTTTGGGCTTTAAAAAATCTGGAGTTAATTAATACATTTAGTGGGACCAGTGTTAGACGTTACAGGACAACACTCGGACACGCGCGTAAATGCGCACGGACGAGAGATGCACATAAAATAATACGCACGCTTATATAAAAGACAAAAATATTACATAATAATGATGAGCTTTTAATCGGCATTACCTTGACGATTGTCCCTGCAGTGCTGGGATTTTGGCGGCGGCGGGGGTGCATTCGAGTATTCTATGGATGAGCGGAAAAAAATTAAAATAATAATTAGCCGTGCTACACACAGCGGCGAAAATAAAATCTCGGGATTGAACAAGGTCGCACGTACACATCGCCGAGCAAATATCTCTGTAAAGCTGACGCGTCTCCCTCTCTAGAATGTAAACGATATTGGTGTCGCAAAATGAGCGATGATGATTTTTATATACGATCGCGCGAATTAATGAATTCAAATAATAATCTATTTAATCGTCGAAATACCGGATTAGTTTCTAAAAATGTGGAGAATAAAATTTATGCGAGACTTTTTCCCGACATCTTCGTTCTTGCTCCTCAAATTTAAAGAGACTCTAAGATCCCCAGCTCAGATTCTCTAAACAGATTCAGACCTTCGAAGGTGACGGTCGGCCGCGCCGTGTAGACGGGCAGGGTCGGCCACCAGGATCTACGCTTCCGCGTGGCGATGGGCGAGGGCGGCGGGGGCGGTGGTTGGTACCTGAACCTCGGTCTGTGCTTGTCGGGGTCGAAGGGTTGTCCGGCGAAGGCAATCGTCTGCGACGATTTGAGAATCGACGCGGGTGGTCTCGGTCGAGTCGGCGATGAAGAAGTGGCGCGCGGTCGTTCCGGTCTCTTCC